TGTGTGTGTCCAGGAGAGAAGAGTCACAGTCCAGCTTAAGTCAGATCAGTGACGTCTCATTTCTGGTGTAAAAAAGTTATCAGTTTAGTTCATTTATATATGCACTGAACAAAATTATAAACGCAACAGTTTTGTTTTTGCCCCCATTTTTCATGAGCTGAACTCAACGATCTAAGGCTTCTTCTATGTACACAAAAGGCCCATTTCTCTCAAATATTGTCCTCAGATCTGTCCAAATCTGTGTTAGTGAGCACTTCTCCTGTGCCGAGATCATCCGTCCCCCTCACAGGTGTGCGTATCAAGATGCTGATACACAGCAGGATTACTGCACAGGTGTGCCTTAGGCTGCCACAGTAAAAGGCCTCTCTAAACTGTGCCGTTTCACAGTCGATGGCGTCTGGCGCTCTGGAGAGCTGTCCACATCCAGTCGTAGCGGTGAGCGGCTCTTCTGCCTCCGCTATATCTGCTATAACTGTGCAGTTTCACAGTCGATGGCGTCTGGCGCTCTGGAGAGCTGTCCACATCCAGTCGTAGCGGTGAGCGGCTCTTCTGCCTCCGCTATATCTGCTATAACTGTGCAGTTTCACAGTCGATGGCGTCTGGCGCTCTGGAGAGCTGTCCACATCCAGTCGTAGCGGTGAGCGGCTCTTCTGCCTCCGCTATATCTGCTATAACTGTGCAGTTTCACAGTCGATGGTGTCTGGCGCTCTGGAGAGCTGTCCACATCCAGTCGTAGCGGTGAGCGGCTCTTCTGCCTCCGCTATATCTGCTATAACTGTGCAGGTTCACAGTCGATGGCGTCTGGCGCTCTGGAGAGCTGTCCACATCCAGTCGTAGCGGTGAGCGGCTCTTCTGCCTCCGCTATATCTGCTATAACTGTGCAGTTTCACAGTCGATGGCGTCTGGCGCTCTGGAGAGCTGTCCACATCCAGTCGTAGCGGTGAGCGGCTCTTCTGCCTCCGCTATATCTGCTATAACTGTGCGGTTTCACAGTCGATGGCGTCTGGCGCTCTGGAGAGCTGTCCACATCCAGTCGTAGCGGTGAGCGGCTCTTCTGCCTCCGCTATATCTGCTATAACTGTGCAGTTTCACAGTCGATGGCGTCTGGCGCTCTGGAGAGCTGTCCACATCCAGTCGTAGCGGTGAGCGGCTCTTCTGCCTCCGCTATATCTGCTATAACTGTGCAGTTTCACAGTCGATGGCGTCTGGCGCTCTGGAGAGCTGTCCACATCCAGTCGTAGCGGTGAGCGGCTCTTCTGCCTCCGCTATATCTGCTATAACTGTGCAGTTTCACAGTCGATGGTGTCTGGCGCTCTGGAGAGCTGTCCACATCCAGTCGTAGCGGTGAGCGGCTCTTCTGCCTCCGCTATATCTGCTATAACTGTGCAGTTTCACAGTCGATGGCGTCTGGCGCTCTGGAGAGCTGTCCACATCCAGTCGTAGCGGTGAGCGGCTCTTCTGCCTCCGCTATATCTGCTATAACTGTGCAGTTTCACAGTCGATGGCGTCTGGCGCTCTGGAGAGCTGTCCACATCCAGTCGTAGCGGTGAGCGGCTCTTCTGCCTCCGCTATATCTGCTATAACTGCAGTTTCACAGTCGATGGCGTCTGGCGCTCTGGAGAGCTGTCCACATCCAGTCGTAGCGGTGAGCGGCTCTTCTGCCTCCGCTATATCTGCTATAACTGTGCAGTTTCACAGTCGATGGCGTCTGGCGCTCTGGAGAGCTGTCCACATCCAGTCGTAGCGGTGAGCGGCTCTTCTGCCTCCGCTATATCTGCTATAACTGTGCAGGTTCGCCAGGCCGGGGCGCGTCACTGTAGTTCGAGTGAGACACGAGAAAACTACACATTTGACTGGATGGCTGGATGGACAGCGAGTGTGTGTAGGAAGACTGTTCCCGAGTTCAGGAGTAGAAGAGGATCCACGGCAGTCGAGTGTGATATTCTGTTCTATTCTATTATCCACTGGCCGGACTTTGAGATCGCAATAGACGTGACGGACTACAATGAGTTAAGAGCTCGCTCGAGTACTGGGGTATATGTGTGTATATATTAGGGATGCACCGAATCCAGGATTCAAATTCGGATTCGGACGAATATTGGGCTTTTTAACGGGGTTCGGTTTCTGCCGAACCTCAGAATTTTTTTCCACCGAACCGAACCCTAGGCTTGCACTACGCGCGCTACGTCGATTAAGTCACCGATCAGTGAATGACATCAAAGTACCGCGTGAACGAATAGAGAGCAGACGGCTCCTTATGCTTTTGAATTGCCCTCGCGGTACTTTGATGTCATAAACTCATCTGTCTGTGCAGCGCCGGTTCAAGTCGAACAAGCCTGTAGTGTAACGCGTTGTGTCAGGAAGAAAAATAGGGATAGCTCACAGCTAAAGTTATTGCAGAGGCCAGACAGACTCACGGAGGCGATTGGCATCTCACAACTCGCACTTTATTCCACAATCGAACTTGTGTAACTGTCTGTCACACGTTCTACCGTCCACAGCGTTACTTAACAAAATAAGATAAAAATGAGCATCAAACGTTCAAACAAAGATTCGGTGCATCCCTAGTATATATATATATATATGTGTGTGTGTGTGTGTGTGAGAGAGACAGAGATCTGCTGGATCTTCCTCAAGTTCTCTCTCATTCTGTCAGTCTCACTCTGTAATTATCGATTCGAGTTGATTAGAGGTGTGTGTGTGTGTGTCCAGTATGAGCTGTAATTTTGCTGTTCCGCTCCACGGATACTCAGGAATGAGCAGGAATACTGCCAGCCCTTCTATAGTGTGTGTGTGTGTGTGTGTGTGTGTGTGTGTGTGTGTGTGTGTGTGTGTGTGTGTGTGTGTGTGTAATAAATGAAAATGTCACTCGATCACTTGTTTGGCTCTGAACTGCCTCCTGGGTATCGTTGTGTTTTCACTGAAACAATAGCAGAGACAGACAGAGGGAATGCTGGGACATTTCCCGCTCCTCCCGCGCTCTTCCTCTCCTGCGCCGCCGCTGGACTCGCGCTCGTTAAACTCGCGGCGGTTTGACGTGTCGTTTTTAATCATGACAGATGAAATGGAAAGAGGTTCAGATGTTGAACTGGGCGTTGATTGCTAGCGCTGTGTGTGTGCGCAGCATTAGCCAGAGCTCATCAGACACACACACACACACACACACACACAGATGCAGTAATGCTGCGTTCACACTCACTGTAATCATCAGTTTCCGGCTTGTAAAAATATGTCCTGTAACTACAAGTTTTCTGTAGTGATGTGATGAGAGATCAGAGCTAGAGCTCCAGTGGTCGCTGTCGATCCTCTGCTCAGGGTTATGATGTTGGTTAATGTGTGTTTATGAGGATTTTACTGTCATTAGCAGCAAAACAGCACACAACTCTCCTCATAGAAATGAATAACTTAATAACTAAAGTTCTAGAGCTACTGTTTAACCCCCTCTCTCTCTCTCTCTCTCTCTCTCTCAGAGGTGCTGATGAACACAAAACTAGAAACATCTGATCTGAGATGGACCATCTACCCCAACACTGACCCTGAGGTGACACTCACTCACTCTCTCACTCACTCACTCACACACACACACACACACACACACACACACACACACACACACACACACACTCCTGGAATCTGAGTTTTAATGAGAAACGAGTTCCTCTTCAGTAAATCCCTGCATTTCTGGAGCAAAACATGATTATTTTATAGAGTGTTCTAGTGTTTAAGCCCTAATTAAATAACTGTGTAAAGTAGTAATTTAAAGTTTCCCTGTGGTGATTAATGTTGTTTATGTGTCTGTGGTGTTTTTAATATGCGTTAAGACAATCCATGTGTAAATTCATAAGTCGACAGCAATTTAATTACTTTTCCTTAGAAAAAGTAATGCAAGGAGTTTCTGCAATTTAATTAGTTTCTGTACAGTTACAGTAATTGAGCTAAATACTGTGTATAGACCAATCTCACGGCGACTCGTGTGCGTTTATGAGCTGGATAAACGTCACTGAACTCGAATTAGCCATCTTTGAAATGCGTATGAAATGCCATGAAATCGGACTGCTATAAACCAGTGTCAGGACTATCCTTGTGTTATTCAGCTGGTTAAGGTTGGTATGGGATTTAGAAAGTAATAAGTAATTAAATACTTTCTAGAGAGAGTAATTTGTACTGTAATCTACTTTAGTTACTAGTAATCAACAGTGTAGAGTAACTTACCCAACACTGCTTGTAGCCAATCAGATCAGCGTGTGATCGTCAACCAGTGGATCTCTGAGTGAGTGAGTGAGTGGAGGCGGGGCTCATCTGCATATTCATAGAACCGCGCATACTAAATCAGGCAAGGGTGTCGAGTCACATTCAAGATATTTTAAGGCATGAAAAAGGAAAAAACTTTTAATTTTGTCATTTTTGTGATCAAAGATGAGTTTTAAGAGAGTTAAAGGGATAGTTCACCCAAAACTGAGAATTAGCCCATGATTTACTCCCCCTGAAGCCGTCCTGGTGTGTATGACACTCTCCTCTCAGACGTTTCCTGGCTCTTCCAAGCTTTAAAATGGCAGTGAATGGGGATATTTTTCCATTAAGTGCATCTATCCATGATAAAGTGCTCCACACGGGGTTAATAAAGGCCTTCTGAAGTGAAGCGATGCGCTTGTCTAAAGTAACGAGCTTCCGGCAGACGGCGTGCGCATCGAAGAGTAACGCTGACGATGTGTGGCGTAGATGTGGGAGTAGCGGAAGCTTTGAGCCTCTCGCGGTCGTTTGCCGGAAGCTAGTTATTTTAGTTGATAAAGTTTTAAATATGGATATTTTTCTTAATATAAGGAGATTTTAATGGTGTGTGTGTTTGTGTGTGTCAGTGGGACGAGGTGACGGGGCTGGATGACGAGGGCAACAGCGTGCGCACGTTCCAGATCTGCCCGCTGGAGAGTGTGTCGAGCCACTGGCTGCGCACGAGCTTCATCCCGCGGCGCGGCGCGTCTCAGGTGTACGTGGAGCTGCGCTTCACCATGATGGAGTGCTCCTCCCTGCCCAACGCCTACAGGACCTGCAAGGAGACCTTCAACCTGTACCTGTACCAGAGCGACGAGGACACCGCCACACACACACACCCCGCCTGGATGGAGAACCCCTACAGCAAGGTACACACACACACACTCACTCACTCACTCACTCACTCACTCACTCACTCTCACACACACACACACACACACACACCCCGCTGGATGGAGAACCCCTACAGCAAGGTACACACACACACACACACACACACACCCACTCACTCACTCACTCACTCTCTCACACACACACACACACACACCCACTCACTCACTCACTCACTCTCTCACACACACACTCACACTCACTCACACACACACAGACACACACACTCACAGACACTCACACACTATACACTGATAGTCTCTCAGTTTCACCGAGATGAATGGGGAAGGTTAGGAATAGTTTTGATGCGTTCCCAGTAAGAGCATGATAGCTTGTATATATTTTATATATATTTATATATATATTTATATATATATACACTCACCGGCCACTTTATTAGGTACCCCATGCTAGTAACGGGTTGGACCCCCTTTTGCCTTCAGAACTGCCTCAATTCTTCGTGGCATAGATTCAACAAGGTGCTGGAAGCATTCCTCAGGGAGTTTGGTCCATATTGACATGATGGCATCACACAGTTGCCGCAGATTTGTCGGCTGCACATCCATGATGCGAATCTCCCGTTCCACCACATCCCAAAGATGCTCTATTGGGTTGAGATCTGGTGACTGTGGAGGCCATTTTAGTACAGTGAACTCATTGTCATGTTCAAGAAACCAATTTGAAATGATTAGAGCTTTGTGACATGGTGGAAGTAGCCATCAGAGGATGGGTACATGGTGGCCATAAAGGGATGGACATGGTCAGAAACAATGCTCAGGTAGGCCGTGGCATTTAAACGATGCCCAATTGGCACTAAGGGGCCTAAAGTGTGCCAGGAAAACATCCCCCACACCATTACACCACCACCACCAGCCTGCACAGTGGTAACAAGGCATGATGGTTCCATGTTCTCATTCTGTTTACGCCAAATTCTGACTCTAACATCTGAATGTCTCAACAGAAATCGAGACTCATCAGACCAGGCAACATTTTTCCAGTCTTCAACTGTTCAATTTTGGTGAGCTCTTGCAAATTGTAGCCTCTTTTTCCTATTTGTAGTGGAGATGAGTGGTACCCGGTGGAGTCTTCTGCTGTTGTAGCCCATCCGCCTCAAGGTTGTGCGTGTTGTGGCTTCACAAATGCTTTGCTGCATACCTCGGTTGTAACGAGTGGTTATTTCAGTCACTGTTGCCCTTCTATCAGCTCGAACCAGTCTGGCCATTCTCCTCTGACCTCTGGCATCAACAAGGCATTTCCGCCCACAGAACTGCCGCTCACTGGATGTTTTTTCTTTTTCGGATCATTCTCTGTAAACCCTAGAGATGGTTGTGCGTGAAAATCCCAGTAGATTAGCAGTTTCTGAAATACTCAGACCAGCCCTTCTGGCACCAACAATCATGCCACGTTCAAAGTCACTCAAATCACCTTTCTTCCCCATACTGATGCTCGGTTTGAACTGCAGGAGATTGTCTTGACCATGTCTACATGCCTAAATGCACTGAGTTGCCGCCATGTGATTGGCTGCTTAGAAATTAAGTGTTAACGAGCAGTTGGACAGGTGTACCTAATAAAGTGGCCGGTGAGTGTATATATATATTGCGTTGTTTACGTGGATACGGTGGCGGCTTTGGGGTGTTATAGTTACTGTTATAGTTATTATAGTTAACAATATCGTATTAGTTATTATAGTTAACATCGTTATAGTTATTATAGTTAACATTATCGTATTAGTTATTATAGTTAACATCGTTATAGTTATTATAGTTAACATTATCGTATTAGTTATTATAGTTAACATCGTTATAGTTATTATAGTTAACATTATGGTTATAGTTATGGTTATAGTTATTATAGTTAACATTATCGTTATAGTTACTGTTATAGTTATTATAGTTAACATTATCGTATTAGTTATTATAGTTAACATCGTTATAGTTATTATAGTTAACATTATCGTATTAGTTATTATAGTTAACATCGTTATAGTTATTATAGTTAACAATATCGTATTAGTTATTATAGTTAACATCGTTATAGTTATTATAGTTAACATTATCGTATTAGTTATTATAGTTAACATCGTTATAGTTATTATAGTTAACATTATCGTATTAGTTACGGTTATAGTTATTATAGTTAACATTATCATATTAGTTATTATAGTTAACATCGTTATAGTTATTATAGTTAACATTATCGTATTAGTTATTATAGTTAACATCGTTATAGTTATTATAGTTAACATTATGGTTATAGTTATGGTTATAGTTATTATCGTTAACATTATCGTTATAGTTACTGTTATAGTTATTATAGTTAACATTATCGTTATAGTTACTG